GTACATTATTTTTTAATATTTTCAATCCCATTAACTTTTTCATGTTTTTATGGAAACTGACGAAGAAGTAGACGACGATATCGAATGGAGTAACAGTGACGAAGAAAATGATACTTTATAATAACTTGTAATGTCATTAATCTATTTTTAATTAAATTTTAGTGTTATTTTATTTGGTTTTTTATTTTTATAACCTGTCATTGACAGAATAAATTTAAATTTTTAACAATTTAAGATAGTTGTAGCATCGAATGCCTTTTCTTATGATGTTTTTAAAATTTACACAGATTATTAGTTATATAAATCTGTGCCAAAAAGTTTATTTGCATGTCTTCTTAAGATTTACATGCTTGTCTGGCAAGGGGTTGGAACTATCAAAAATGTCTGGCTATTGAGGAAACATCATCTAATTATTACCTAAGTATTATATATAAAAATCAGATTTTATACTATAACATAAGTAGAATTATAATTTCATGAACATTAAGGGTGTCTGGCAAGGGGTTGCCACGATGTTAAGTGTCTGGCATGCAATAACGTGATTTTTAATAATATTCTGAAGGTAATACCAAAAAATCACACTTTATTATTTGACGAATTTAGATCGGTATTTTACACACCTTTAGTACCGTTTACCTGCCGAAGCCACGATAACCCAAACTTCATAATGGTCCATCATTCTTACCTGTGTTGGGAGCATGCGCTGACAAACTTTCAGCTTTTATAAAATAACGAAGGTCTGGGGTTCACGGGCTCTTAGACTATTACCTTTTTTGACCATCCTAGATTTCATACAAATCATCATCATCACCAATATTTTCCTATTCTTACCTACTTATTAGAAAAAATATATATTTGAATGTGTTACATAGGAAGACGTTATAACTAGGTTCTTTTATAACCGGCCGCCTCTTGTCAGACGCCAACTCTCATCGTTATTGTAATCGTTAAGAATTCAATTAAATGTAAAAATACTCTTAATTTAGTCAAATTAAAAGACATGCTCTCACGGTTAAACAAATTAAAAAGTACAAATAAGTCTCCCATCATCAGACTATCGTTGTCAAGCCCAATCTGTTCCACTTGTCAAAATGACCGTGTGAGGTGATCGTGCCTAACAGACCGTAACCACCCAGTGGTTGATGTTGGGAAGTTGAACACATGTTAATCGGCGTGAATTTCCATATCGTGATACAGAATTAGCAATTTTAATTCCCTACGTAGGTATTTCAGTGACAGGTGCTCGTATTACCGTCAGCCGGCCACTTTAGGAATTAGATGGGAGTTCAATATGAAAGGGAAAGTTGGTAAGATATGAAGGCTATAGCAGGAAAGGTTTATTTTTTTTACGGATGGATTGGGAGGGTACGGATAGTCATGAACCTAATAGGTCATAGTAGTATACCTGTAGTCAGAACTGACTGTTTCCGCGATGATCTGTTGCAGGAGAAGCATTTGTTACGATAGAATTTAATTGTTTTTATGGCGTAAAACGAAATTCATTTATTTTGATAAAAAACTCGAGACTCGTGACTTAATGGTAACCGAGTATTTTAGTAGAATTAAGGCCAACCCCAATTTAGTTTGGGAAAAAGCTTGGAGTAAAAAAAATAATTGACAAGTATAGTATGGTATTATCTACTATAGAATATTTTAGTGTACGATTTGTTATACGGCAAAAATAGTACCGCCCCCGGGTGGGCTCGAACCACCAACCTTTCGGTTAACAGCCGAACGCGCTAACCAATTGCGCCACGGAGGCTGCAACATAAAACACCAAACATAAATTCAAATTTCAAAAAGCCATAATATATTATTATTGTACTATAAATTCGTGGGTTCGATTCTTACCTAGCACGGTCCAGCAGCTGACCAGTTACTCGTCTTTTATATGTTAAATGCTCTCGAGGGAATATATGAGTGGTTGTGTCTCGATTACCTCGCTCACTCGGTGAAAAGCTAACATAAAATTACTTTAGACCGGTTTCCTATGAGGCCATGGTTTTCTATGGCCATGGGTATTATGTCGAAATATGCCTCTCCCATTGTCATAATTTTTGCTGTTTACCGAACACATTAATGTATGTCTGTAAGTCATAATGATGTATAGCTTTGAGAGTTTTCTATACAATCTTCAAATATTTAATTTAATATTCGAATTTTGTTAGAGCAGGAACAAACTAAACTATAAAAATAACAACTTGACACATCACACGGTCCTTTGATTCCAAATAAGAGAGTTTGTGCTATGGTAACCAGGGCGTCGGAAGTGCTCGCCGAAGTATATCGGCGGACGGCTGATTTCCGGGTCGTCCCGGCTGAAGGTTCCACGTGTTGGCTTTGCCGCCGTGGAGGTGCATCAGGCGGTTATCGTCGAGTGGGCAGGGCGGCAGCATGGGACCCTTTCCTTCCGACTGACTCAGGTGCTTTAGGAAGTACCTGCACTCAGTCGCTAGGAGGGAATTGAGTCTCGCCCGTCACCACTGCGATTGCAGTGAGGACTCGGTTCAGCACACGTTAGCAATTTGCCCAGCTTGGGCGTCGCAGCGCCGGGTCCTCATTGCAGTCATCGGAGTTGACCTCTCGCTACCGGCCGTCATAAGCTTCATGGCCGGTAGTGACAGATGTTTTACCGCAGTCGCATCCTTCTGTGAAGACCTCATCTTGCAGAAAGAAGCGGCATAGAGGTTTCGAGTAGTATAGTGTCCAGCAGTGGACTATTATAGATTATTGATGTGAAGTTTATATTTTTACCAATTCGACCAATTAATTGGACCCAAGTATCAATGGAAAATTTTGTAGGTAAAACGTTGTAAAAAGTAACGATAGATCTATTAACAGTCGATATTATAGATTTTAGTTTCATCAATGATAACGTAGCCTCCGTGGCGCAATTGGTTAGCGCGTTCGGCTGTTAACCGAAAGGTTGGTGGTTCGAGCCCACCCGGGGGCGGTACTATTTTTGAATTAGCCCCGACAGAAAAATCTCCAATTTTGGTAAGAAACAAACTTATGTCGGCCACACTTACAACCGACAATTAAAAAAAACCTTATTTTGCTAAAAACACATAATTAAAGGAGTCATACTCAAATAAAACATTGTTTTTATCAAAGAATACCATTAAGAATACCAGCATTATAAAGGTCTCTACCGTAGGAGGACCATGCTTCTAGTGACACCATGTTTTTTTTTATGGAAGCGACTACCGCCGCCCATGAACGCCTGCAACTCAGGAATTACAAGCACGTCGCCGGCCTTTGAGGAAGGAATACGGTTAAGTGTTCAGTAATTCATATATTAGTTTTCACAGCGTAAGTAAGGTCACCGGAGGATTAACCCCCTGTCTTCCCTAATTATGGGTCGACGGCAAAGGCTGGCAACACTCTTGTGGCTCTTAAGTTGCAGGCCTCCATGCTTGACAGTAGTCACTTAGGATCAGATGATGATATACCGAAGGAGTCCCCTGATACCGAAAATAAATGAAAATATCAAGTGGTACTTGGGCTGAACTCCACTTATACCGGTTTTGTGTCTCATTGGTTCCCTGGATGGTTTAAATTCACCATTGGTAGTTTATTTAATTAGATAAACAAAAAATCGTTGCTCGAATGGGTCTAGAATGGGTCTCCAAATTGATCTCGATAGATGGCGCTGCAACTTGGTCCTAGAATATAAGTATTCACTAGAGATCGTCCGTGTGGTGACGGATTAAGCATACGGATTGCCACCCCTATTCATCTCGTGGGTGTTGTAAAAGTCGACTAAGAGAGCAAACAACGCAGGACAACAGCACTGCAAAGAGAAGGAAATCTTGACACAAACCCTATACCAGCCCGTCTGGCCAGCGTGGTATAATGGGCCCAAAACCTCCTTTCTAAAGAGGGGGCTATGTTCAGCAGTGGATTATTAAAGGCTGTTGATGATGAGAGGTCGTCAGGCGGTAGAATGTTTGTGCCTGTATGTACATGAATTCCTTATTCTTTATTTTTCCTTCATTATATATTCTTCGTATGGCTTCGTATGGGTGCAATGTCGATACTACTAATGTGGTGTCAGAGTGGAGTAATTAATTTTACTATTATTATGATAGGACTATACTATAGGACATCTTTAAATGCTATATTTATATTCCCACTCCGATCCTGCCGGCTCTGGCATCCGCGACCGACGTACGGCTCGATGGCTGTTGGGCCCCCGCATTTTAAACCTCTAACATCTCCTAAAACATTCATTTTAATTTTAATTTTAGCAATTTTAATCTACATTAAATGTACAACGTATCTAAGGTATTTAATTGATAAGGAACAAAAATGTATTGTAAAAATAGCTTCGTAAACAACCCATTATTTTTTGTAATATTTAAAAGATAAAAATGGGTATTGTGGGTTATCCTTAGGAGGTATATATACCATCCTAGACTTTTTTGTAGATCTTTTTAAGATAAACAATCAGGTAGCACATTATTTTGGTCTATTTCGTAGGGTTTAGCCAAAAAAAAAAAAAAAAACCTTCCCCTTGAATCACTCTCTCTCTATTGGTGATAATTGCATTAACATCCGTTGCTTAGTTTAAAAGATCTAACACTAAAAAGCGACTTTATTTTATACTATGTAAAGATAAGCATCACAGTTTTGTGTGATAACGGTGTGTCTGTGTCCACATAGTTTTAACCTGCTTTAAACCATAGCTTATACATTAAACTTTGTCTTGCAATAAATATTGATACAACCAAAAATCTTTTATTTTGAATTGCTTAAAACATTTGTTACTGTAAGTTTATAAAGGCGCGAAAATGAGAAAACAACGAATATTATATAAAATGAATATAATATATATTTATTTAAAATGACAGATTCGAAATTCAAATGTAATATTGTGTTTTTTTAAGTGTACCCAACAGTATTTATGGCCAGAATAAGTACATTCAAATCCTGTTGTTCAAAGTTCTGTTTTGTGTATCTAAACACGTAAATTAAAAAGTATACTTTTGATGTTACAGGCTGCTTGCAGAGTGGAAACGGACTATAGAAGTGTTGCAGGTGTTAAACTGCTTGCATTAAACGTGATCGAAGTAAGAAATTCTACTTATTTATGACTACATAGTAGTTCCCCGCAGTTTTAGTTTTTTAAACAAAAATATTTCGTCACGGGTGTCGTGTCAAGTCCAAACTTGACACTTGATTAAACCCCTCTCTCCCCTAATTCTCCGAAAGTGTTCACCCGATTTTAAAAAGTCAGAACAGAGCACATTTTTTTTTGTATTTCATGTATAGATGTCTAAATTAATCCTATGTTAAATCCATAGTATTTTCAATAGAGATAAAATATTTGCTGAACATGTGATATTTGATTTGGAATGCATACGACATTGAAAAGGTATCTCAATGATCAAATTTAAAATACTTAAAATATTAGCTAAGACACATTAAAAAAAAGTATATAAATATTCTATCAGTCAATCCAGGTTTTATAGTAAAAGCTCGGTATACTCAGATGTGGTTCCGAGGTATACTTACTCATTATGACAGTCATATTTTACCTTCTCCTATCTTAAAACGGGTCATGTACGAGTCGAACTCGTGCGCCGAGGGTTCCGTACCTACCCAGATTTTACGTAGATTTTCGCGAAAATTTGTAAGTACCAAAATTTATCTTAATTTTCAACTTTTTTTTATTTTTTGGAATTGTTCCTTTATTTGTGTTGTGTAGAAACGTCTTACGTTCTTTTTGCCAAATTTCGTGATTCTAAGTCAACGGGAACTACCATATAGGTTTTCGACCCAAAACCTATAGGTACTTCCGGTTCGGGCACGCCGTCATCGCGGCGGTAAGACCCGTTATGGAGGATTTTCTCGAAAGGCGTCACGGGACCCTCTCATACCGACTGACGCAGGTGATCACTGGGAAAGGACTGTTTCGGGGATCACCTGTGTCTGATCCGCAAGGAGCCAACGCCTGAGTGCCACCACTGCGATGGCCAGACCGTGGACACGACTCTCCACACGCTGGCAGAGTGCCCGGCATGGGTTGAGCAGAGGCGAGACCTAGTGGCGGCCATCGGAGTGGGAGTTCTCTCGCTCGATAGCCTGATTGCGTGCGTGGAACTCTGCCGTCTCCTTCTGCGAGCAAGTTATGCTCGCGAAGGAGACGGCGGAGCGGGACCGGGAGAGGTTTAGAACTCTCCCGGCCCGCCAGGCCCGGCAACGGGCCAGGTACCGCAGGCGACTCAGGCGCCGGAGGTCGCAGAACGACTTCCGTCCTCCATAACCGCAGGCCTGGGGGTGACAGGTGAGGCCATCTGTCACCCTAGCAGAAGCAGGCCGGGGTGGCGGCGAGCGCGTTGCGAAGCGCGCTCGCTTCCAGGGAGCAGAGGGAACATGGGGTTACCACACGGGGGTGGTCGTCTACCTGTTGTTGTAGATTGCCCGAGGTATGTCGGGGCACCAGGGACTTCCTTTCTAAGGTATACCTGGTTCCCCGGCTATTAATACCTGAGATGGCGTGCGGTTTTAGTCGGTTCGAGTCCGACATGCCACCGATAGGTGGTATCCGAGGGGATTTCCGCACGGAAAAAAAGAAAAAAAAAGGGTACTTCCGGTTGACCTAGAATTGACAATTTTGGTTAAAAGCAAGGTCTTACAGCAAAAGTTGAAAATTAAGGTAAATTTTGGTACTTACAAGTTTTCGCGAAAATCGAAATTTGCCTATATCTTTTTATCGTGGTGACTCATAACCTTGATTTTTATACACCTAATAAGGACCATAGACTTCAGTATCTGGTATAAATTTCTACTTGCTAGGTCTGCCCGTTCCTGAGAAAATCGGTGGTGACACACGGACAGACGGACAAGAAAGTGATCTTATAAGGGTTCCTTTTTACCCTTTGAGGTACGAACCCTAAAAATGAGAAGTTTTCAAACATCCTGCCTTTCAACTTACCTTGCCTCTTGGTCTGCTAAGCCGAAGGTTACCAACCACCACCCAGGAAAAATATTGTGTGATGAGCACGGTCATTTGTTCTGTGTCTGGGTGTGATTTATCTATAATATGTATGTATTTAAAAACTACATAAGTATGTTTATCAGCAGTATGGTTACCATAGTACAGGCTCTGCCTAGTTTGGGATCAGACGGCCGTGTGTAAGTTGTGTGAGGTATATTTTGTTTTTTTTTTGTTTTAAAAGACAGCTCCCGCACACATACATGAAACGACACAAATAACACCCAGACTCGAAACGATAAGTTGTGGATCACACAAAGTGTTGTCCTATGCTCTATACTCAGCGTAGTAGGTAGCTGCGTGGCGACCGCTTAAACCACTACACCATCCGTGCAGTCCACAGTCTTAGAAATATTATATATTCCATTTGTGATTTAGACTGTATACAGGGTGTAAGGGACGTCGTAACGAATACTGAAATAGTGTATTCACCATTCACCAGATCATGATTCTGAGTCGAACATCATTGGAATTTTCTGCCGAAAAGTTCATCATTTTTTTTTTATAATTTTATATTTTTTTGGTTAAAAGTGATGAAAAATGATATCGCAATGAGTAATCAGAACATTTTGCCTTAAACAATTTAATAATTACCGCATACGGTCAAAAACTACTATGTAATTAATCAAACAGTCGAAGCGCGCGGTGCCGCCCCTTCGGCCGTCAACTTATATTAGTGTGCGTAGACTGTTTGCACGGAATACACATGTATTTATTACTTTTTTGCGATACTTGCGGGGTTTATTTTTCCGGCAGAAAATTCCAATAATTTTCGACTGAGAATGACGGTTGGACAACTGTATATTTGTCTATCTGTCTGTATGTTTATCTATATATTTTTGTATCTGTGTGTCGCGTGTCGGGCTGTGGGACCTTGCGTGTCTAAAGCAGATGGACTGATTTGGATATAACTTTTTTGTTTGAAAGGCGACTTGACTGTTGAATGTTGTTAGTTGTTGTGTTAGTTACTGTTGAAGAAAGATTGTTCAGAATTTCGGCGATAATCAGCTCTTTTCAAATCGTTAAAATAATTTTTATGTATTTTTTTATTTTACCTTAATTTCCCTTAGAAATAGTGTCCAAAAAGTCCTTGACGTTCATTAGGGTACCGCTCGAAAGGAAAAACGGAACCCTTATAGAATCACTTTGTTCTTTTTCTTTCTTTTTTAATGTTAAAAAGACAACTCCCGCAGTAAGAATACATTCCTGTGTAGCGGGGGACTTTACAAACATACATGAAACGGACACAAATAACACCCAGACTCAGAACAACAATTTGTGGATCGCACAACACTCGGCGCAGTAGGAAGCGGCGTGGCGACCGCTTAAACCACTACGCCATCCGTGCAGTCGTTTGTTGTCCGACGGTTTGTCCGTCTGTCAATATTCTTTATCTTGGGAACGCGTCTCAGGTCCACAGACCCTTGCAGGTTGTTCCCAAAAACATTTTTTTAAGTAAACGAAAAAAAGAAAGTGATTACAAGTCCGACTCGCACTTGTCCGTTTTTATTTTATTCGTCAGACATTTTCATCTCGTTTTTTTCTTCACGAGCAGGAGACCTTTGACCCAAACGAACATCTGGGCATAGAGAAAGGAGGCACTGCAATATCGGATGCCAAGAAAGCTTGGAGAGATCTCCTTAAGCTTGTCGTTCTCATGCTGCAAGAGAGAAAGGCATTTGACGCGTTGCACGCCGCTCATAATGCAGCAAACAAGTAAGTGTTTTAGATAGAAAAGTTGACATTAATATGTTGAAGTATAAAAAGAACAAAAGGGTTAATTTAAGTTGACAAAAATATATCTTTAATACTGTCTGAAAACTAAGGGTTTTCTTCCTTTTTAACCGACTTCCAAAACACAAAAGAGGAGGTTCTCAATTCGTCTGTATTTTTTTTTTTATGTATGTTTGTTCCGCGATTTCTTCGTCAATTGCGGACCGATTTTCAAAATTCTTTTTGTAATCGAAAGGGTATGCTCCTTAATTGGTCCCATTACCACCAATTCAGGATCTGATGATGGGATCCTAGAGAAATCGAGGGAAACCCTCACAATTATTGGGCATTTGACAGCCCCGACAACGTTTTTTAGCTACGAGTATTTCTTTAGCCAAACAAACCATGGCAACCGTCAGAGACTGCGCGATGTGATGCGCAGAGAACTTGCAGTATTTATGTGACCACAGTAATTGTCGTTGTATAAAGAAGAAAAGGTTGAAATTTTGTATTCTATCTTATTAAAATAATTCGGTTAGACGTTTTGTTGCTATGGATGGCATCGCATTTCGTTTGTAAGTAATTTATACTTAATTTATTAAAATAGTTCTGGAAAAAACTCAAAACTGAAATTTTGTGTGGGTCAACTTTCTAAGGAGAGGCTTATGTCCAGCAGTAATTTAATATAATATTTAATATAATCTAACAAACTACAGTTTGTTACTATACATTACGGTACGTAGTGTTTTAAATATCGTACTTATCTACTCATTACAAACATATCCTACACTAAAAATTCTTAATTTTTCATTTTGCTAATATAAAGCTAATATTTGTAATTATTTTTTAATTTTTAGTGCTCTTTGTCGGTGTAGTTTGAAGTCTGTTCAACTTTTTTTTAAAAGGGTTTATTTATACTCAGAACAGCGAACCAGCCACTTGAATCTCAAGCGTTACCTGTTCCTTCATTAAGTCTGTATTGAAACCTATTAGGAAATAAAAGAAAAACCTAAATTGATTTGGGTTTTTCTTTTATATCCTAATAATATTTATTTAGAAAAGTGCGTTATTTTAATATGCGATAATGATGGTAACTGTTTCATTATACTAAGATGATACGTCTTACATCTGGTCATCATGAATCGACACTGAAAAGTAAGACGCGACATTTCAGAGTTCCAATTTCAAATTAAAAAAAACAATTGAAAGAGATTATGGAATGTAGAAAACTTCAATACATAAATAACTAACTTAATTACATAAATCCTTTTTAAAAAGAAGTTGAACTGACTTTAAACAATACTAACAAAGAGCACTAAATATGTACCTAGAAGCAATCGTGGTTGATTTGCTGTAATTTTTTGAAGAGTTACGTTGTCTGTCTCCGAAACTGATCATCAGATCTATATTTAATTTAAATGGGATTATTTCGGAATAAACCCTTTTCGAACGAGAAAAGAATTTTGAAAATCCGTCTATATATAATGGAGTTATGTTCGAACATACATTAAAAAAAACATCCGAATTGAAAACGTGCAAAGGCAAGAAAATTACATATCAACTTGTTGTTCCAATAATTTAAGAAAATAACTAACTGTTTAAGAACAGTCATTGTCAGCTTAAATTAAGTCTTTTATTTGTATAATTATTTAGTTAGATTTTAGTTGTAAGAAGTATGAGATCTTTTTAAAAAGCTGTGGAATACCATGGTGCCGATAAACTCACCTTCCGTTTATTTATGGACTAAATGGCTACTGTTTGCAATTTTACCCCAATCTTTTTATTTACTATTTGCTGGTGTTTTTTTTATTAATACTCTATCCACGTTTTCGATATTTATTTTATTTATTTATTTTCGAGACTTTACACTATAATTACTCGTACAGGTTACCCTTAGTAACTAACAACAAGTAATAATAAACGTTTTGTATTGAATCATCTGTGTATACATCTTTTCATATGTATATTGATATTTTTTAACTCCCGATGCAAATTGACGGAGTGTTATTATAAGTTTGACGTGTCTGTGTGTGTCTTTCTATATCATCGTAGCTCCCGAACAGATGAACCGATTTTAAATTTGTTTTTTTTTTGTTTGAAATGTGAAATAGTCGATGATATTCTTAGCTATGGTTGATAAAAATCGGTCCAAGATGGCCGCCGCTACAAAAGGGCTGATTACATAATTTTTCACAACTCGCTCAATATGGGTATCAAATGAAAGGGCTTGACTAATAGAATACTATACACTATGACAAATTTCAAATATAAGATGCGTGTCGAGGGTTTTTTTTAATTTTTTTTTAAAAAAAAGTAGCCTAAGTTACTCCTTATGTCATCAGCTAACTGCCAGTGAAAGTCCCGTCGAAATCGGTCCAGCCGTTCCAGAGATTACCCGGAACAAACAGACAGACAGACAAAAATTGTAGAAAATGTTATTTTGGCATATGTACCGTGTAAACATATTTTAATATTACAAACAGACACTCCAATTTTATTAATTTGTATAGATATTGGATTGTATTAGTGTACGGTCTCACTATCGTCATACAAATAGCTTTTACTTTATCATATAGATATTTTTGTACATACGCTGCGGATGGATTATTGGATTTATTGGATGCCCGTTATTATTGTTATTAATACATTAATTAATACTTTATAAGTTAGTACGCCACCAACTATTAGACTTGCAAAGCACAATCTAGGAAAGATTCGCTACTCTATACATTTTTATATCACATCAACAGCCTTTAATAGTCCACTGCTGGACATAGGCCTCTCCTTAGAAAGGAGGTTTTACTCCTCAATCCATCCATATACCACGCTGGCCAGACGGGTTGGTATAGGGTTTGTGTCAAGTTTTCCTTCTTTTTGCAGTGCTGTTGTCCTGCGTTGTTATGCGCCCTTAGACGGCTCTTACGACACCCACGGGATGAATAGGGGTTGTGACATTCCGTATTCTTAATCCTTCACTACACGAACACATTTTTTTATACTTTTACTTAAATAAACTTATTACGTTTGGTCTTTCCTGCGTATTCAATAAATTACTTACTTAACTAACTATTCAATTATTACCCTACAGTGTACAAGCTAACTGGGCTGTACAATTAGTATAGTGGTGATGTATTTCTGTTGCTGCTATAACAACAAATATTAAAAACAGAATAAAATATTTAAGGGGGGCTCCCATACGATAAACGTGATTTTTTTGTTCGTTTTTACTCGATATTCATAACTTTAGATACTGAAAACTTTAGATAATTTATTGATTTGTAGTAAAATTAATTGTAAGTACACACACATCTGTACCAATCGGAGATCACAACATAAAACATCTACGGGAACGCAAAACTAACAAAACAGAGACAGAATACTCGCTCAAGAGACACAAATCTTGAAGATATAGGCTGTAGGCCTCCTGGAATTATGAAATCAAAAAAAAAAACTTAAAAGGCCAAAATCTCGAAAATGGTTATTTTTGGGAGATGATATTTCATAGTAAAATCTATCAGAAATGGCAACTACAACCCCTTCAAGTATTTAGGTCGACTTATACAGTCATCCTGTATATATGTTAAGAAAACGCTGTTCAGGATCTTTTTTGTAGAATATATTTTGATTTCTTTTCATTTATGTTCCTCACTATCTTTCGTAGGAACCCCCACCTCTGATAAGCTTTACATATTTTTTTTTTTAAAAAGACAACGTCATTATAAACATATCCTGTGTCGCTAGGGACTACAAACATACTTGAAACGGTCGCAAAGAACACCCAGACTCAGAACAACAATTTGTGGATCACACAAAGTGTCGTCCCATGTGAGGATCGTACCCACAACACTCAGCGTAGTAGTAAGCGGCGTGGCGACCGCTTAAACCAATACGCCATCCGTGCAGTCAAATGCTTTTGATTTAATTTGATTCAGATTGTATTACAATCTCATAACAACTGAAGCTGAAAGAAAATATAAAATGGTGTAATAAAATAAGAATAACTCAGTATATTCTAGATGATAAATTTCTTTATCAACAAGAAAACTAATGCCAAATCTGTCCAACCTTAAGTACGATTACATATACGAATTTTTCCTTTTAAATATATTTTATATAGAAAATAAGCGAAGGGTGAGTTTAGTCGGCAACCCTATCATACGACGTAAATCAAATGGTGGTTTGTATTCACAGGAAACAAAATGTGCTGGGTAAACTGGTTATACCGAGAATACAAAATGCCATTGCGTATATTAAATCAGAGTTAGAAGAACAGGAAAGAGAAGAGACGTTCAGACTGAAAAGGTTTAAGCAATCGAAGGAAAAGAAAACTCGATTAATCAAAGAAAAAGACAAAAAGGATGCAATCACAGAAGAACCTGTATTTACATGCCCTGTATGCTTACCAAAGGCCGAGATACCTAAAGAGGTTCAAGTTAAAAAAGAGCCAAGCATAAAAGAAGAACCAATCATAAAAGGAGAGCCAAACATAATAGTAAAAAAAGAAAGTAAATTTTGCGGCTGCACCGATCCTCGACCAGAACTCGATCAAAGTACTGGCAAGTTCATCTGTCCTATTTGTAATTTGGCAGATAGAAATGTAGACATAAATGTTGTAGCATGTAAAGTATGTCTACCTGAAGTCAATGAAGTTAAAGAACGTGCAGACCACCTCATGGCGCACATCAACCAAGTGTTAACATTATCAAGATTCTATAACAAAACTCTCTCTGGTATGGATACAAAGGAATCAGATTTAAGTTACGCTGATATCAAAAAGGCACTTGAAAATATTAACAGCATATGTACTTGTCCTCATATGGAAAAACAAAAAATAGAGGAAGCTAAACCCTGTGGATGTGCTATATGCGCATCAAAAGACATAAAATCTGAGCAAAAAGAAACTGTCGACTTCGATAAAAAAACAACAGCGATAGATAAAAAACCTGATGCACCGTGTATGACAGAACCCTCTGGAGGTGGATTAAAAGACATAAAACCTGAACAAACCGTAAATGACTGCTGCAAGAATAAACTTCAAGCCATAGTTAAAAAGACTGACGCGCCATGTCTGTCAGAATCCTCTGGAGATGGATCAAAAGGCATAAAACCTGAACAAAACGTAAATGACTGCTGCAAGAATAAACCACAAGCGATAGATAAGAAGCCTGATGCACCGATTTTGCCCGAACCCACTAGATGTCCTATGTGTGGATCAAAAGACATAAAATCTGAACAAAAAGTAAATGATTGCGGGTGCAATAAAAAACCCCAAGCGATGGACAAGAAGCCTGATGCACCATGTCTGTCACAACCCTCTGGATGTCCTATGTGTGGATCAAAAGACGTGAAATCTGAACAAAAAGTAAATGACTGCGGCTGCAATAATAAACCCCAAGCCATGGACGAGAAGCCTGATGCACCATGTCTGTCAAAACCCTCTGGATGTCCTATGTGTGGCTCAAAAGACGTAAAATCTGAACAAAAAGTAAATGACTGTGGCTGCAATAATAAACCCCAAGCGATGGACGAGAAGCCTGATGCACCATGTCTGTCAAAACCCTCTGGATGTCCTATGTGTGGGTCAAAAGACGTGAAATCTGAACAAAAAGTAAATGACTGTGGCTGCAATAATAAACCACAAACGATGGATAAGAAGCCTGACGCACCGATTTTGCCAAAACCCTCTGGATGTCCTATGTGTGGATCAAAAGACATAAAATCTGAACAAAAAGTAAATGACTGCGGCTGCAATAATAAACCTCAAGCATTGGATAAGAAGCCTGATGCACCATGTCTGTCAAAACCCTCTGGATGTCCTATGTGTGGATCAAAAGACATAAAATCTGAACAAAAAGTAAATGACTGCTGCAAGAATAAACCACAAGCGATAGAAAAGAAGCCTGACGCACCGATTTTGCCAGAACCCTCTGGATGTCTTATGTGTGGATCAAAAGGCATAAAACCTGAACAAAAAGTAAATGACTGTGGCTGCAATAATAAACCCCAAGCAATGGATAAGAAGCCTGATGCACCATGTCTGTTAAAACCCTCTGGATGTCCTATGTGTGGATCAAAAGACATAAAATCTGAACAAAAAGTAAATGACTGCTGCAAGAATAAACCACAAGCGATAGAAAAGAAGCCTGACGCACCGATTTTGCCAGAACCCTCTGGATGTCTTTTGTGTGGATCAAAAGGCATAAAACCTGAACCAAAAGTAAATGACTGCTGCAAGAATAAACCACAAACGATAGATAAGAAGCCTGATGCACCATGTCTGTCAAAACCCGCCGGATGTCCTATGTGTGGATCAAAAGACATAAAATCTGAACAAAAAGTAAATGACTACTGCAAGAATAAACCACAAGCGATAGAAAAGAAGCCTGACGCACCGATTTTGCCAGAACCCTCTGGATGTCTTATGTGTGGATCAAAAGGCATAAAACCTGAACAAAAAGTAAATGACTGCTGCAAGAATAAACCACAAACGATGGATAAGAAGCCTGATGCACCATGTCTGTCAAAACCCTCCGGATGTCCTATGTGTGGATCAAAAGACATAAAATCTGAACAAAAAGTAAATGACTGTGGCTGCAATAATAAACCACAAATGATGGATAAGAAGCCTGATGCACCATGTCTGTCAAAACCCTCTGGATGTCCTATGTGTGGATCAAAAGACATAAAACCTGAACAAAAAGTGAATGACTGCTGCAAGAATAAACCACAAACCATGGATAACAAGCCTGATGCACCATGTCTATCAAAACCCGCTGGATGTCCTATGTGTGGATCAAAAGACATAAAATCTGAACAAAAAGTAAATGACTGTGGCTGCAATAATAAACCGCAAACGATGGATAAGAAGCCTGATGCACCAAGTCTGTCAAAACCCTCTGGATGTCTTATGTGTGGATCAAAAGACATAAAATCTGAACAAAAAGTAAATGACTGCTGCAAGAATAAACCACAAGCGATAGATAAGAAGCCTGACGCACCAATTTTGCCAGAACCCTCTGGATGTCCTATGTGTGGATCAAAAGACGTGAAATCTGAACAAAAAGTAAATGACTGTGGCTGCAATAATAAACCACAAACGATGGATAAGAAGCCTGACGCACCGATTTTGCCAGAACCCTCTGGATGTCCTATGTGTGGATCAAAAGACATAAAATCTGAACAAAAAGTAAATGACTGCGGCTGCAATATTGAACCAAAAGCGACAGATAAAAAGCCTAAGGCACCGTGTCTCACAGTCAACATTTCTGAGCAGAAATCTGAGGATTGTTGCATATCAAAATCGCTTGAAAAAAAATCTGTATCAAAATCGGACGCCTGTTGTCAACATTCACAGGATACGGCAGAATATACATCTATAGAGGAAATGGAAGGCCTTTGTAGTTGTACAAACATATCTGATTCAGCAAAAGAAAAATCATGTTGTGATATGGCTGGTATTTCAAAATCTGATTATCAAACTTATAACCTATGTTCAATATCTGCAATCAAATCTGGTTCATGTTTTCAAAGTGTATCTAATTTATATCAACCAGCGCCACCATTTTTTTATCTCTATTCTGGACCATACGTACATTCACAAACCGGACTTCATCCTATTTGCAACGGTAACATGATCCCACAAATTAATACGATTTCCAAGAAATGTTTGTGTTCTAATGCGCCGTATCCTGGCGAATTCAAGCAAGACAATCCTATATGCACATGTAAATCAACAAACAATTTGCCTTCTCAACAACCGTCCAAAGAGCTGTGTACTTGTGAATCTATAGAAGCGATGTCGCCATTAACGTTATCTTTGCACAGTTTACAGGTTGACCCTATAAATATGACTTGCAAAAATATATTTCAATCATATCCGCCCACTGCTTCATTACCTACAGCAAATTTACCTTTGATGTTGGCAAAACGAGTTGCCAAAGCATCTGAGCCCTATTTAAAAAAGTCATGTTTAAAGAACGGTGATTATCCTTATCGCGAAAGATGCGAGGATCCAACAATTGAATTCAAATGCCCTTCAAATAATTCAATTCAATATCCGCCTACTGCTACATTACCCCCAACTAATTTACCTTTAACGTTGAAAAACCGAATCGCTAAAGCATCTGAGCCCTATTTAAAAAAAACACGTTTAGAAAACGATGATTATCCTGTTCGTGAAAGATGCGATGACCCAACAATTGCATTCGAATGCCTTTCAAATAATTCAAAACAATCAAAACAAAATATGTTGTGTTCATGTAAATCAATTCAGCAACAAACATCTTTTTCCTGCAATTCGTGTTCAACATTATATTCAGGAAATTTAACAACAAATTCATTATCCCAAGAGATGACAAAACCCCCTTATTTTAAAAAGTCTACGACACATTTTACCGATATTCCTCAAGGATTTTTACCTTTACTCTCACATACAGTAGAAGAGACGAGCAATACAGTAATTTTATCTAGTACATCTATCTCTAGCGATACTGCTTATCTGCATTCAACTAAAGAAAATCTTGGGACAGAAATTAAGAACCCACTCAATAAGTTTACTCCTAAACAGTTTATGTGCTTTTCACCGTACACGCGAGATGGAAAATCGAGGTCATGTGATGTTTCGGAGAGGAGCTTGATCATAAGTTCATATGATACTACACAATCAGATTATCATGGAACAGATGAAACTCCTGGATGCTGTATTTTTTCTAAAGAGAAATGTATCACAGACTCGTTACACGATATTGTTCAAAAACAGTCTCCATTTTTTTCATCGCATACTCATGTAGTTAACCCTAGATTGTGTAGTATTTCTTCAACAAATTTATGTGATAGTCCTGATCCACAGTCTTCGCGTTTGCTTTCATCTACACTTCGCGGAGTCTCTGGAACACAGAGTATCTCAATTATACTAGACTGTATTTTATTTAAACAGTGCAAATCATCAACAACACAAAACAATTCAATTCAGAAAGCGTCTAGTACACCGTCGACCTATACTAAAGACTTCTCAATTTATACTACAATGACTCCTCATGACAATTCACCATATAAGAGACGACTAGACAAACCAGGACCTTGTAATACTTTTGAGACATCAAGTGAAACTAAACCCAGTACGTTTAAAGATTGCTCAACATTTGTTACTGTAGCTCCAAAAAAAGTTACATCTTATACGTGTGAAGGAAGGTCATTTGGTGTTTCTGAAGCAGTTAATAGAACAGAGTTTTTTAAAGAAATAACGCAAAACTGCTGTGAATTTACATTGTTCAATAAAAATGAAAACTGTATTGCCTTTACTCCCTATACAAGAGAAGGTAAACCGGGGCCGTGTGGTCTTACTTTAAAATGCGATGCATTTTCGAAAAATAATACACCAAATAGTCGTAAAGATAGGTCTGGTACTTATTCAGTACAATGTAACACCAATAAGGAAACTGTATTCTCTCCGTCATTCACATGCAATAGCAGGTCGAAAATTTGTGGATGTGAAAAAAACAATATGCCACTTTCATGGAGTAGTACAAACTCTGTGAGATTAGATTTTACGAGGGAGGAAACGACGGGAAGAACCTGGCGTATATCTGAGACAAACATTCCGGCATGTTCAGAAACTCACACAGATTTTCAGCAATGTACAAATGCGCGTCCCGTACCATATATAAGAGAAAGAATACCCGGACCCAGTGGTCCTTGTGAAGTAGACAATACTAAAGGTTCAGTTGGTAATATTAGTACTGATCAGTTAACCAAACCAGTAACTTGTACACGAGAAGGAAGGCCAGGACTTAGCGATATATCTAAAACGAGCTACAATATAAAATCTCAGCAGTCTACTTACCAAGCACCATACATATCAGGTATCTCCGAGATAACAGTAAATTCAATCACGCTAACGTGTTCTGGTCAGGGAAAACAAGGAACTTGTGATATTGACTTAAATCAGTGTCAGCAGGTTATACCAAATACAAGAGAGGGTTTATCAGGGCCCTGCGATGTATCTGAGACAAGTTATATTGCAAGTTCACAAAATAAGACTGCTTTGCTGCAGCCTACAAGTATTGCACCATACACGCGTGAAGGAATGCCAGGACCTTGTGGGCTTTCTATGACAAATGATAATGCAAGACAATTTACGAAACCAGCGCCTTTTACGCGTGAAGGTAGAGCAGGACCTTACGATATTTCTAAGACAAATAATAATGTAAGACAGTTTACGGACCCAGCGCCTTATACGCGTGAAGGTAGAGCAGGGCCTTACGACATTTCTAAGAGAAATGATAATGTAAGACAATTTACAGACCCAGTGCCTTATACGCGTGAAGGTAGAGCAGGGCGTTGCGACATTTCTAAGACAAATGATAATGTAAGACAACTTACGGACCCAGCACCTTATACGCGTGAAGGTAGAGCAGGGCCTTGCGACATTTCTAAGACAAATGATAATGTAAGACAACTTACGGACCCAGCACCTTATACGCGTGAAGGTAGAGCAGGGCCTTGCGACATTTCTAAGACAAATGATAATGTAAGACAACTTACGGACCCAGCACCTTATACGCGTGAAGGTAGAGCAGGGCCTTGCGACATTTCTAAGACAAATGATAATGTAAGACAATTTACGGAACCAGCGCCTTATACGCGTGAAGGTAGAGCAGGGCCTTGCGACATTTCTAAGACAAATGATAATGTCAGACAATTTACAGGCACAACGCCTTATACGCGTGAAGGTAAAGCAGGGCCTTGCGACATTTCTAAGACAAATAATAATATAAGACAACCGACGGATCCAGCGCCTTTTACGCGTGAAGGTAGAGAAGGTACAACAACTGCAGTGTCACATATCAATCCAGATCCAAGGCAGTTAGCATGTCAAGGACGAATAGGACCTTGCGATATTCTTGGAACAAATAATACTGCTAGTTTCTTAAGTAAAATAACTACTATACATTCGTCGAACTTTGCTTCAAATATACTACAACATCGTGAGCCTTGTAATGTGTGTGTAAAAAACAATATTACATGTTCACTATGTGCTATGGACCCTAGCGAGTCCACAAATCTGTTGTCGTTCACAAGAGACGGGAATCCTGAGGCCTGTGGTGTATCTAAAACAAATCCTACTGCAAGTTCATTCTATAATACAGCTCTCAAACATTATTCACATAATACACCATATACAAGAGAGGGGATGCCAGGTGTCTGCGGAGTTAATAAGACTAACTTTGCGAATTCACAAAATAAACACACTCACCAGTCTGCTTATATCGAACCATATACACGTGAAGGCAAACCAGGACCTTGTGGGCTTTCTCTACACAATAGTGAAAGCCCGCTAGAGGAAATACTTTCCAGGCAATATACAGCCCCGGGACCTTTTACACGTGAAGGAAAAGAAGGACCTTGTGATATTTCAAATATAAACTATACTACAAATTTACTAAATAAAATAGATCCTAAGCAATCGACACATATTGCATCACATGCACTGATCAAGAACCCCGAACCATGTAGCGTATGTGAGAGAAAACATTTTATTTGTTCAAAGTGTGCTAGGGATAGCTCGTCGTCTAGAAACCTAGCCAGTTGTGCAACAAAAGGTATTTATGGACCATGCGGTGTATCTGAGTTTAATAATGTTGCAAGATCCATCTGTAATTTAGTTCTAAAGAAGTCCACATCTGTTACATTATCTAAGCAAGAAGGAACACTAGGTCTTTCTGAGACAAAACATATCATATGTTCATGTAATAACAATGACTCTATAGGGTCTAAGAATTTGCAAACTTGTATAAGAAAGGACGGACATGAACCCTGTAGTGTGACAATGTCTAGTGTAATATTTAATACGTCCTCTAAGCAATGTACGCGATTGACATCATTTACAAGAGAAAGCAAACCGGGACCTTGTGGTGCTTTTGAAACAAACCGCATTACAGTTTCAAATTGTTTTGAATTGATGAATGAGCCGAATACAAATCAATCAAGAAACTTCTCACCTTTTATAAGAGTAGATATGCCTGAGTCTTGTAGTTTTTCTGAGAGAAAAAACATTTTAAATTCTCTCTATGATAGAACCTCTAAACCGTGTGCACATATTTTACCATGTACAGGATCAAACAAACCACAAATATGTAGTGAATGTGAGAGAAACGGCATTGCGTGTCCACTTTGTATCATCGACCTTAAAGAGTCCACTAATTCAGCACCTTATACAAGGGAGGGAATTCCTGGGCCTTGTGGTGTATCTGAGGCTAAAAATAATATAAGTTCATTAGGTAATTGGGAATTTCAAATCTTAAAACCATACACAAGGGAGGGAGTACCCGGGCCCTGTGGTATTTCTGAGAAAGGCCTTACGTTTCCACATTATAAATTGTATGCATCGTATGCGTGTCAACTTAAGCCTGGACCTTGGAATATACTTGAATGCCCTAATGCTACTGGCTCCACTAAGCTTATAACTTCGGTTCGTAAACCATGTAACAGTAAGCCACCATCAAAACTGGGACAGAGGCAGTCAAGTGATAAAAACGAGTTCAACTTGTGTGATACTCAGTCTTGTTTAATGTATCAAGTTCATACACCTTGTGGGACTTATCATAGGAATGGAATACAATTTTCGGCGACTTCTGCTACTAAAGATGCCACAACTTATGTTACTGTAGGACCTTGTCCTGTACAAAATATACGTGAAGCAACACTTAGGAATTGTAGTACATGTGACAGAAAAATTACTTTTGATACATCAACACCTCATAGCACAAGAAATTATAAAGTTCGAGCACCTCATACATGCATGAACGTCACCCGTTCCTTAATTGCCATCCCCCGCTTTGTATGTTCTTCTTGTAGACCATATGCAAAAGCCTCTGCTGCTCCAGTGATGATTTTACCTTCACATGTGTTATCAATGGCATCCTCTTTTGCACCGTCAAGAACCTGTTGTTGCAAATCGCAGATTTCGTCTGTTTTAACGTTAAAGTCTGGTCACAATTGTGACGAATCACTGTACTCCGTTGGATCAAATAAATTTTGTTCTACTTGTGGCCGCCCTGCATCTAACAAAGCAAACTTAAAAACAAACTCTGCCCCACTGTTAAAGTATGTAACTTATGCAAATTGTGAGAATTGTGCTCCCAGTCATGTATCAAAATTTGAACCCTGTGCAGACTGTAGAAATACTAAATTGTTTTTGTCTTGCGCGAGCAATCCTTCTATTAAGTCAGTAGCTATTGGGACATGTGCTAGTCGTAATCATTGTACGTCATCTAAAGCTGCTCGTCTACCTAAATCTGCAGTACAAACACCATGTCCATTGTCTCAAAACACTGCAGCCATTATATCATGTCCAACTTGTTCTAAAAAAAGAAGAGAAAAGTGCGTTCCTCATGCAAGTGCTAGTAAGCAATCGTGTTCAAGTTTGGTGTCTAAGGATTCTAAAGCTGTTATAGATGAATCGAAATTCGGTTATTTTGAAATTGGAAAGAAAAAAGTAACAAAGATATACAGATGCAAGAACCCAGATGGTACTATAACTGATGAGAAACGAGTCATCATTATTAAAACTGAAAAGAAGTATCCTGAAAAACTTGAATCTTCTGGATTTGAAGCAGGAACGATAAGTGATTGCTTAAAAAATGAAACAAATAAGAAACGAAATACCAATGAAATGGATGTGCCCAAATTTTCAAGACAGTCTAAATCTGATACCTGTTGTAACGGTACAAATGACCGGATGACATACCCTCAAATAAGGTATTGCATATCTACTCAAGATTGCAATAACATGACAGTTAATAACAACTGTCTCGAACCAAATCATGATTCCTCAAAGAATAGTAACCGTTTCGTAACTGCTCATTCTATACCAACTGGTCTGGTATGTGCCAACAGACTAGAAGACACAGATAGCGGTCCTAAATGTGGCTGTGAAAATAAACCACCCTCTAAGTATACTACTCTAGCTTCACGTGCTCGTCCTGTGGCACCAACCCCCCTACGTTACAACGGACTAAAAGACACAGCTAATAGTCAAACATGTGACTATCCAGACAAATTACGTACTAAGCCCTCAGCTTCAGTCGAGCCCACTATCCCAGCATGTGCCAATAGACTACAAGATTCAGACAGCGGACCAAGGTGCAACTGTGCAGATAAATCACTTCCTGATATCACTACTCCAGTTCAACCAACTACACCAGTATGTGCCAATAGATTACAAGACACAGACAGTGGTCCAAAATGTGACTGTGCGAACAAATCGCCTCCTTTACCGGCTACTTTAGAGCAGCTCGCTACTCCTGTGTGTGCCAATAGGCTAGAAGACTCGGACAGCGGACCTAAGTGTGACTGTGCGATTAAGTCAACTCCTACTCCAGTTTGTGCCAATAGGCTACAAGACACAGACAGTGGTCCAAAATGTGATTGTGCAAATAAATCGCCTCCTTTACCAGCTACTGTAGACCAGCCTCCTACTCCAGTTTGTGCCAATAGGCTACAAGACACAGACAGTGGTCCAAAATGTGATTGTGCAAACAAATCGCCTCCTTTACCAGCTACTGTAGACCAGCCTTCTACTCCAGTATGTGCCAATAGATTACAAGACACAGACAGTGGTCCAAAATGTGACTGTGCGAACAAATCGCCTCCTTTACCGGCTACTTTAGAGCAGCTCGCTACTCCTGTGTGTGCCAATAGGCTAGAAGACTCGGACAGCGGACCTAAGTGTGACTGTGCGATTAAGTCAACTCCTACTCCAGTTTGTGCCAATAGGCTACAAGACACAGACAGTGGTCCAAAATGTGATTGTGCAAATAAATCGCCTCCTTTACCAGCTACTGTAGACCAGCCTCCTACTCCAGTTTGTGCCAATAGGCTACAAGACACAGACAGTGGTCCAAAATGTGATTGTGCAAACAAATCGCCTCCTTTACCCGCTACTGTAGACCAGCCTTCTACTCCAGTTTGTGCCAATAGGCTACAAGACACAGACAGTGGTCCAAAATGTGACTGTGCAAACAAATCGCCTCCTTTACCAGCTACTTTAGACCAGCTCGCTACTCCTGTATGTGCCAATAGGCTAGAAGACTCGGACAGCGGACCTAAATGTGACTGTGCGAGTAAGTCAACTCCGAAGCCCATTAACCCAGTATGTGCTAACAGACTACAAGATTCCGATAGCGGACCAAGTTGTAACTGTGCAGATAAATCACTTTCTGAAAACACTACTCCAATTCAGCTCACTACCTCAGTATGTGCCAATAGATTACAAGATTCAGACAGTGGACCAAAATGCGATTGTGCCAACAAATCAACTCCTAAACCTCTTACTCCAGTTTGTGCCAATAGGCTACAAGATACTGACAGTGGACCTAAATGTGACTGTGCAAACAAATCCAATCTTAAGCCCCTTTCTCCAGTTTGTGTCAATAGAGAATACGACACAGACAGTGGACCAAAATGTAACTGTGCAAACAAATCTCCTCTTTTGCCCGTTACTGTAGACCAACCCACTACCCCCGTATGTGCCAATAGGCTGGAAGACTCAGACAGTGGACCTAAATGTGACTGTGCAAACAAATCATCTCCTTCGCCCATTACTGTAGACCAACCCACTACCCCCGTATGTGCCAATAGGCTAGAAGACTCGGACAGTGGACCAAAATGTGACTGTGCGAGCAAAGCAACTCCTAAGCCCACTACTGTAGACCAGCCCATTACTCCCATATGTGCCAATAGGCTAGAAGACACAGACAGTGGACCAAAATGTCACTGTGCAAACAAATCATGTCCTTTGCCCATTACTGTAGACCCACCCACTACCCCCGTATGTGCCAATAGGCTGGAAGACTCAGACAGTGGACCTAAATGTGACTGTGCAAACAAATCATCTCCTTCGCCCATTACTGTAGACCAACCCACTACCCCCGTATGTGCCAATAGGCTAGAAGACTCGGACAGTGGACCAAAATGTGACTGTGCGAGAAAAGCAACTCCTAAGCCCACTACTGTAGACCAGCCCACTACCACCGTATGTGCCAATAGGCTAGAAGACACAGACAGCGGACCAAAATGTAGTTGTGCAAATAAATCGCCTCCTTTGCACACTACTAAAGACCGGCCTACTAACCCAGTTTGTGCTAATAGGCTAGAAGACTCAGACAGTGGTCCGAAATGTGACTGTGCAAGCAAATCAGCTCCTAAGCCCACTACCCCAGTATTTGCAAACATAAGACTACAAGACTCACACAGCGGACATATATGTCACTGTGCAAACAAATCGCATTTTTTGCCTGCGACTATAGACAAACCCACATGTGGCCATACACTACAACACTCAGACAATACTCTGAAATGTGATTGCGCAAGAAAACTAACTTGTAAGCACACTAAACCCTCATCTAAACAATCTCAAACCATGATTCACCCACCTAAGTGTAGCTGTGATAATGAATCGTCTCCTACTCCCACATGTCCGTTTCATAAACCTCTAAACCCTTGCCAATGTAAAGTAACTGACGAGTTGTTACCGTCAACAAAGTCTCAGGATAAAGAAGTGTGCTGTTCTCTGCAAAAAAAAATAGGCATAATGAAACATATAAGCGATGCACAAGAAAATAAAGTTAAAGACGATAGAGAATTCGACTATGTGTACATAGTACCTTCAAAGAAAACTATTTGCAATAAAGTTCTTAAAAGTGACGTTCCATGCTCTACTACAAATCTTGCTTGTTGTACACCAAAATTGTCTTACGATGCCAATGTACCCACATCACCAAAGAAAATTGTCCCAAAAACTTACAAAAACCGGTGCTGCAGTACTAGTGATACAGGCAAGCTCTCAATTTTTCGCGGTGGCAGTATGTTAGATGCCTTACGCCAACTATTTCAGAGCTCAAATTCGCGTACGCAAAATCGTAAAACTTTTGACAAAAATATTTGCAAAACCTGTTATTCCCCATTAAGCAATACCGATGACGGTGAATCGCTGAATACTCCACTGTGCACATCTTGTAAAGAAAAAATTATTGATGAAAGCGAACAGGATTACCGTCTTACTAATTATTCTACTGAAACAGGATCTCCAGCTTCTAAAAAATCACCATCCCCGTTTGGTCAAATGTCATTTTTATCGACAAGCAGTTGTAACATAAATGTAGACCATAGTTGCCCTGCGATGGTTTCAACAGTAATATCCACAGATTCTAACGATAGTCTTATGTGCATGCGTGGTGAAAATTATTTTCGTAATGCAAATCGCAATGATGCTGCAACTTCAACTAGAGTAAGAGATGAAACCTATATGCGAGCAATTAAAAAAGGAAAAATTGAACATGCATGCGTTCCAGATGTAAAAGACTGTGCATCACATACTACAAACTAATGGATATACAGTCTGATGATGATGACGACCCTTTTCCCTAAATAATTATCTTTTTTATGTAAACCTCAAACAGTTTTGATCTGTATCATGTAAATTGACCACATTGTTTTGATACTTTTATACTTATGTAGATGTAATTAAAATATATGAAATAATACACAAATTTCATTGTTTTGAAGATGATTTAGCAAAGTATAGAAAGTGCAATTCTGCTACGCTGCTCTCCAATAAAAAAACTTTTGGGCAAATAAGTAAGCAGGTCACGCAAGTGACTACCGCCATCTAAGGACGCAACGACACAAGACGTCACTTTAAATCCAACATGGCGGAACACCTAAAATGGCGGACTAGTTATTTTTAATGCACTACTATAATATGGGTTTCAAATGAAAGGGCTTGCTGAGAATAACTCAAAAAATAAAGTGACGTGACTCTAAATCCAATATGACGCACTTTTAAAGAAGGCGGACTAAGTTTTTTATGCTTTCCTACAATATAGGTATCAAATGAAAGGACTTGAGAACACGAATGCGATACTTAAAGTAAAAAAAAAAACATTTTAAAAACAAGCTCTTATTTAAATGCACTAAAAAGTTTAAAATAAACTTTTTCTTTAAAACTTTTACTTACTACTTATAATGTTATTACACAATTTATATGATATTAAAGCTTGTCGCAATATTAACCTGTATAGATATACAAGTAATTTAAATAACTTGATCTGATTCATTTTAATGTTTAAAATTATCAAACCCAGTAAATAAGAGTACTTAAATCTCGCGACAAGCTTTGTGACATATAAATTGTGTAATGACGATATAAGATGATAGTAAAAGTTTCAAAGGCAAAGTTTATTTTATTCTTAAAAGCTTGTTAGGGTTCCGTATCTCAAAAGCTAAAAAAGGAACCCTTATAAGATAACTTTCTTGTCCGTCTGTCTGTCTGTCCGTCTGACCGTGTGTCACCACCGGCTTTCTCAGGAACAGGTAGACCTAGCAAGTTGAAATTTGTACCAGCTATTAAGGTCTATGGTCCCTATAAGGTGTATAAAAATCAAGGTACTGAGTCAACACGATACAAAAATATAGGCAAATTTAGATTTTAGCGAAAACTTGTAAGTACCAAAATTTACCTTAATTTTCAACTATATATTAATTAAATAAAATAAATTTAAATTTATATTCATTCGTAAGGAAAATTTATTGTACCCCTTTTTAAACAATTATGCCGCACTATAATGCCGCTTTGTTTGAATAGCCGAAGCGGCGAATTTTTCAAGAAAAATAGTTGTGTTAATACCTGTATTTATTTACAAATTGTCATAAATGATGTCCAGTACCCAACTATATATATTATTATTGTGGACCGTTAGTCATTTTAATCACACATTATGTCTACTCACGCAAATCATTCGTAGTATGTCTTCGCTACAAAGACCCGGTATGCAGTCATCTAATTATACATTCGAATGTCCTAACTGCAACGTCTAGACGTTATGTAAAACTAAATAAACATTAAATAAAAGTAAATAGTTTGAATTGATTGAATGCCCGACATTGGGAGCGGATAATTAGTTGTGTGTAAAACAACATGATGACATTGTTTTGTTTTAGTTTCGTCTGTGCGTGCGTCTGCGCAACTTACAGATTTGTAGCTTAGGGTTGTCACTGGAGCGCGCGGTTCTTTTTGAGACAAGAAAAAAACATCATGGTTTCCACACACGAGGTCCCCGAGTACTGGTACCCGAGACGGCGTTGGGCGGTGGGGGTAAAAAAAAAACAGAAATACTTCTTTTTTTCACGGATTCTTTTATTAACGTTGGCCGAAAAAAACGTTTTTAATCTAGAATAGCAACGGACGCTAGTTCGTCTTTCGTCTTTGTTTAGTGAAAAAGTTTAAAGACCCATGAGGAAAATGAACGTGCTCATCACACAATATTTGTCCTACTACTAGACCAACAGGCCCTTCTTAAGTAATATAAGTATTTTAAAATCTTGCAAACAAAGAATTGTTGACGATTATATTATGTTTGCACAAATCTAAAAAACTGCTGGACATAGGCCTCTCCTTAGAAAGGAGGTTTTGGCCTACTATACCACGCTGGCCAGACGGATTGGTATAGGGTTTGTTTCAAGTTTTCCTTTTCTCTGCAGTGCTGTTGTCCTGCTTAGTTTGCTCCCTTAGTCGGCTCTTACGACACCCACGGGATGAATTAGATAAAACATTTAAAACATATTAAAATTGTGTGCAAAATTCGACCTATAAATAAATTATTGTTTTAAATTTCTACATAACTATCGAGTGCCAACCCTTCTAGCTAGGGTTTGGCTCGCGTCCACCGTAGTACGCAGACGTGACGTCACTGGGCATTCCTACGTTTTGTACGAGAATACAATTATAAATATACAACTGTTACCTTGTGTAGTGATCGGCATTATTTAGATCAAACGGATTGTAGTCTTCTTGTTTGAAATTAAAATGTAGACACTTATCACAGCAATAAGTTATATTTTGAGTTAATAATAACTTTACACATCTCACACGCGACCATCTTAAACCAAACGAGGTAGAGCCTGTGCTATGGTAACCAGCCTACTGTTAAAATACTTGTATATTTCTAAATACAAACATATTATAGATATCAAGATGTGATGGGGTACGAGGCCTTGGCGTTTACCACGATTCGAAGCCACTGTTCCATGTGCATATTGAGCAAACTATTGCAAAAACTGCCAAAGCTTTGGGGTTTGTAATGAGAATTCCCAAATGTTTTGTGAAAGCTATTTATAACGCGTAAAATTCTCTACTGTACTTTTGTTAGGAGCAACCTGGAGCATGCCTCGCAAGTTATGAACCCTTGCTATCATAGGTACATCGATCGCATTGAGTACACACAGAAACGTTTTCTGAGGTTCTTATGTTTTCGTCTAAATATTCCTTTTAGCTCAAACAATTACATTGGTCTGTGTAGAAAATTTCATATCCAGCCACTTGTAAATCGACGTCGATCGGCTGATCGTTTCTTTCTTTTGAAAATTATTTCTAATAAAATTGATTGTCTTAGCCTTTTGCAATAGTTAAAATTTTATGTCCTCCATAGGTCGATTAGATTTAATCTACCCATTTCTATTTCATTTTTTTTCTCTAACTATAGATAAACTCATATGTATATTGTTATAGTGATCAGCGATTACCATAAATTGTGCAAGGAGTACTCTTTAAATCCCTTTAATATCAAAAGCAATATTGTGGGCAATATGCTAAACCTTAAATTTTTCTAATCCTAACATTTTTAGATCCATTAATTTAATTTTATTTTATATGTTATAGGTTTAGTGTCGTGTTAGTTAGCGTTCCAGAACCACTGTTATATTACAATGATTCAATTCGTGAAAATCTGTAATTGGCTTGTAGCTGTTGGTTTTCCTAATTGAAGTAAATAAATAACACACAGATACAAAACAACTGATCGTTCTCATCACGCAATTATTGGTGCTGGATGAGAATCGACCCCACGACCTCTGCCTTAACGGTCAGGGTCATTAAGCACTAAGCAAACAGGTCAGTCGAGCATAGAACAGTTTGAGGAAAGGTTTGTTCTAGAATGATCTTCAGAAGAGGAACTGCCTTCTACTCGAGTGCAAAGTTTGCTTTTTTTAATTTAGAAAAATGACAACTCCCGTTTTAGGAATGACGCACAAAGAACACTCAGACTCAGAACAACAATTTGTGGATCACACAAAGTGTTGCCATGTGGGGATCGAACCCACAACACTCGGCGCAGTAGGAAGCGGCGTGGCGACCGCTTAAACCACTACGCCATCCGTGCAGTATCAAAGTATGGTAAATTATACAGATCAGTATTTAATAAGCCATCTATTAGACTTTAATTGATAAAGATATAAATCCACTGTCCTTAAAGTAACTGCATTATTAATTACTAGCTATTACCAAAGGCTTCGCTCCGGTGATTATTTATTATTTCGTGTTTCCAACTTTGAAAATGACGAACTTTCATAGAACCGTTCATCCCTTATTTTACTTCGTTATGGGTAAAATTTCCAAAAAATCCTATCATAGTGGGTGCTTACAACATAAAAAGCATCAGCTGCCAAAATTTCAAGTTTGTAGCCCCAGCGGTTTAGGCTCAGCACTGATGAATCAGTCAGTCAAAGCAAGTAATTTTAAATGTATAGATATCATATGGCACGAATTACTTTGGCATTTTATTTATTTATGACTTCTCCTTCTTTTTTCTTCCAATCTGTGGAACGGGTTTTCGTCTGCGGAATTTCCGGACCGATACGACCTTCCTTCAAGAAAAGAGCGTACTCCTTCCTAAATAAAGGGAGATGGGAGAGAAGAAGTATATCGGATACCTCTTTCCTCGTTAAATTTGCACAATCTTACATCGACGCCCCCACAACTTCTCTCCAAGATTGAGTTATGTGCCCCTATTAGATCTGTTAGGATACCCTTTCTTCTTCTCAACGTCCCCCGCTGCAGCACAAACTACAGACAGAATTCATTCTTCATAAGATCTGCTAAGTGCTACAATAAGTTGGTCGACTTTTCCGAACTTGACTTATTCGTAGTGAATAAGTCAAGTTCGGAAATATTTGATAATTTGGAGAAAAAAATTGTTCCTTTCTTTTTTTTAAAAGACATCTCCCGCACTAGGAATATGTTCTGTGTCGCGGGGGACTTTACAAACATAGATGAAACCCAGACTCAGAACAACAATTTGTAGATCACACAAAGTGTCATCCCATGTAGGGATCGGATCTACAACACTCAGCGTGGTAGTAATCGGCGTGGCGACCGCTGAACCATCCGTGCAGAACTGAATTGTCTAAATATTTTACTATTTTATAAATGAATGAAAAATTTTTGAAAACCCATCGAAATTTTGTTACTCAGTCACCCCAGAATGGTTGAACAGATTTAGCTCAGAGATAGACTAAATAGTGCCTGAAATAGCACGTAAGCTAATTTTTATT